CGGCTTTTGTGCGATTCGTATCGTCAGTGATAGTTGGTAGCTGTGCTGCAGCTTGCAACGCTATTACCACCTTGCCGGCGACAGAACTGAACTCGAGTGGCACATTACAACTGTTTCTGTCGACTGACGCACCGATAGCGTCACCAGTTTCCATGATTCGTTCAACATAATTCAAACAAAAGTTCCCGAAGTTACGGCCGTTGTGTAAAACAGTCGACGTCATACGTACGTATGTCGAATCAATGCGCAGGGAATTACAATCTAACGAGGTAAAGGTAAAAGGAGAAAACGCGGTCTACTTAAAAGTAGCATCGTTTTAACATATCAAAAGTTATGTAAGCTCTACATATATATGTATATTATTTACTCGCTTATATCTTAAAATCTGTGACACAATATATCCAGTAGGAGACAGTAGAATTAGAAACATGTTAGATTAATTTAAAAAAGTATTACTACATATTACTGGATTATGTAATTTCAAATTTTTTAAATAAATCTGTCTACCATTTTTTTGTCAGGCAAAACGCAGTTTAATTAAGACGTAAAAATTAAGATGTTAAATATTCGTTTGTCGTAGTTGTAATCAAGTTCCGCCCACATCATGATTTTTTCACGTTGTGAAAAAGCATGCTGCTTAAAAATAGTAACACCATTTACTGGAAAATATAAAACTGCTTATTACACGACCCAATAACATTGCTATTATGCGATTGTAAAAATCTAATTATCTACAATCGTCTTGTTGATGAAAATCGATTACAATCAATGTATATCGATATCAGAATACGGTCTTGTTTTAAATCGCGAATTTAATTTTTCTTCTCAAGTGTATTAAATGGCAAACAGATCACAATCCATTTAAATATGTTCAGCACGAAACAAATAAAAAAAAAAATCACTCACATCAGTCATCCTTCGTGTGGCGAAGAGGGTGAAGAACGAAAAAACAATGGTATGAATAAATTCTCGGATTTCTGACGATTCCTTCACCCCCATTTTTCGCGAAAAGGTAGAAAGAGACAGAGAGATTGATTCCAGCAGAATCGCTTTCTTATAGATGATTAAGCGAGCGAGGTAGGCGGCGGTCTGCTACTACCGTAAGAAAGAAAGAAGTTCTAGGCGTCAGCCTGCTAAAAATTCAAACGCGCGAATTTCCCCGAGAATAAATTTCCAAGTTTCCCGGCCGGGAACAGCCGAGCAAATACATCGCGCCAAGCTTACCCAGCGCCAGCCAGGGCGGTCCAACTGGAAAGTTTGGCGCATTGTCGTTGAATAAACGGAAACGATTGTTGTGCGCGACGCTCACGAGAGATGGAAGCTGGAACTTTGCGGACGCGCGATGCGCATTTATTGGTCTTCGTGATTGACAACAAATGCGTCTCATTATGTAGAACAACGTAAGTAAAAAAAAAATGACGCGAAATAAAAGCATTTTAATAGAATTTCTCATTCAAAAGAAGAGGGTGAGAATATCACAGAGCTCGGAATATCAAGATACTTCGTTCAGTGCTGCGGGGAATATCGACAAGAAAGATTGCCACCCTCGCCCTAGTGAGAGATTCTCCATTCTTACGACATACTTGAACGTTGTCACGAACCAGAAAAATAATAAAACAATATCGGTGAAACATTGGAGAAAAAGAAGTATCTTGATTAATTGAAAATTAAATATCCTGATTAATTGAGCATCATGATTAATTGAAAATTGAACATAATAATGAGTAGCATTTATCTATCCTTTTTTACGTAACTAAATTATTCTTGCAAATATCGAAAGACTATCGCGAACAGAAGTTACGTAAAAAGATAAATTTATTTCAGTACTTGATAATTAATTGTTGAAAAAGAGTATATTCTAAATGCAATATTAAATATTCGTAACTATCTTTTGAAATGTAATATTTGCTAAGGAAGGAAGTTCACAAGTGAACAAAACGAAGCGATCCGAAACGGAGTTACAATTGGATATACATGCAAGAGAGTACAAGCAGAAACATTACGACACTTGGATCAATCATGAGCGTGCTTTACGCGAAAGTGCTTGTCGTAGTCGGAATAGCTGTGCCAGTCACGACCAGTCTTAACCGCAGAGTACCAGTTGCTCCGGAGATCATTGGCGGCATTGTTGGACCGTATGTGCATTCGCCTGTCTTGTATTATTCCTGTATATCTCTGTGTACCTCCATCGCGTAAAGGAAACAAGCTTAAGCCGAGGTAACATAAATTGTTTATTCTTGCGAGTCAGAAAGTGAAAGTCCAACTAAGCGTTAAAAATAATATTCCAAATCACGACAAAAATATTTATAAAAGTATTGTTCAATTATTTTCCAAAGCATTTAACCAATTAAAATTCAGTATTTGTGTGATGATCCTTTTCTGACACGTAACTAATATATTTATGGGAAGCTCGAAAGTATCACACATGTAGCATTTAGCTCATATTTCCAACTTTTACATTTCAATTATTTTACCACTTATACGACATCGTTTTCAATGTTGAATTTATTCGTTTTACAACACTTGATGCTATCTATTTCTATGTCTTTGCAAAATTAAGTCTCTCTTTGTTTACCTTCCAACCAGGTCATTTCAAACTGTACTTTCGTACGTTTTTGTTCTTACGAGAATGCTACTCTACTATCGCTGCTCAATACTCGAGCGAGCTTACTTTCCTAATTACGTTGTGCACGATTGTCTTCAAAGACAAGAAATGTAAAGAAATCGATAAAGCATGATCAACGACACCGTCGAACTTCACCTTCAAACTATCGAATTTTCTTAATCAGAATCAAACAATCGCAATGATAACTGTCAAAGTTTGCACGATTAAAATGTGTATTTCGGTGAATGGAGAAATTAAAATGCGGAGAGATTTGAAGAATAGCAATAAGTGAGCGTATCTATTCTTATCGCGGGAAGAGTGCAACGGTACGTTTCGCAACGAAACAATAACAATGAGACTTTTGCACACCGCAAACGAAGCAGTCGGCTTTTGTCTGAGACTGGGCGCGGTGGTATTTGACGCTGGTTCACTGGTATTTATCGGATTGCAAATTGGGGCGGAAATAGCTTCCGGCCTGTTCAGAGCGATTATACCGGGTGCTAGGCTGCTTCTGGTCACGACCCAGATGCACTTCATATTCCTGAACGGCAAGAATCTGGATCCAGCCGTGCGCTCGCAAAATTTGCTCTGCTGCACTCGGAGCAGCGAATCTCCAGTAATTGCGCAGAAGATTCTTCGATTAAACAAAAAATAAATCGTGTGTGCATATCTACAAATATCCGCGTATCATCTACGTGTTGTATTAATTAAAAAATATAAATATATATAACAAAGTCCGAAAACATTAATTATTTTTCGTTACTTATTCATATTTCTGAAACCTAATTCGCAAAGACTTCTTCAATATAAAGTATCTCTGTAATTATAACGAAAATATTTCTCTCGCAAATTTTTTTTTTGAAGTTTATAATGAAAATTTAGAATAGCTTGCATAACACACTGACAATTTTATTCATCTAAACTGGCATATTTGTATAATACATTATACACCGAAATTAACTTCGCTGAATGAATTATGAATAAAAAGTAGAATAAACCGGCTTTAATAAAGCGACGTTGCATCGCAACGAATACAAATGTGGAGGATGCACGCGTTTAATTATTATCATAATAATCCCACTAAGCTCTGAGTTCGATCGCGTGGTAACAGCTACTTTGAACGGTCAGCTCGCAACGTTCACTATTATCCTTTACAAGCCAAGAACAGCTTGATCGGTACGTAGGTGGAGGATAATGGGCGGGCGGGTATCATCCAGGCGGGAATTACATTCCGATAATCAATAAGCTTTTAATTCCGGCAAGCGTCGATTAACCATGCCCAGTATTTATCGAAGTCGAACATGATATTTATATCGGAGTGCAGCACCGATATTTATCGAGATCGCAGTCGGCGTGTTTGTCAACGGACCGTTGGGTCCCGTCCGATATGTTTACGAGAATCCAAGTCGTCCGACCATCGCTATCGAAATTATTCCGACGTGTAAGTGATGCGAACTTTTAATCATCAATATGCTGACGTATTGATTGATGACGAGAATTGTTTATCTCGATGTTGTTCCAATATAAGAATATAAAATTTTTATATATCCACGGTCTCAATAATATCAAACCATAAACCGACAATTTTAATTTGAAAGATAAAGATATTGATACAAATGTATTGATTTAGTTTAGATTTTGATAATGTAAAAAATATACAAAATCTGTCGTTTATATTTAAATAATGATATATTATTTAAATAGTAGACATAATAATAAATTATGTCATGTATCTATAAATTTAACTGTGGAAACATATTCATTACCAAATAATTATAATTATGCGCTTCAAAAGACGATTATAATTCTGAAACCAATTAAATTCGAATACGCATATGATTGAAATCTATTTTTAATATATTTATTGTGTGTATGTGTGTGTTGTGTGTATATTATATAACATTATATATATTTCCAAAATACCTTATAGATAAAAATTGATCCCAAATAAAATAATTCAAAATAAAAGAATTTTTTTTAATTTTACGAAGCTAACTTCTCGCATATATGATTAAATTCTTTTCAATTTTTGCAACAATAACGAGATCCGGAAGAAAAAGCGGACAACGGTCGCTAAAAGGAGAGATCAACGCTAAAAGCGAAATCCCGGGAGGAAAACTCAATTCGTATTAAGTGAGCAACATAGACTATATAAGTCGCAAAAACTAAATCCTCTCGCCATAAAATAGCAGAAAACAATCGATACAGCGTCATTTTTACGATTATTTTTACTTTACATAATACTTACATAAATAGAACAGTACACTGAGAAAAATGGTTTTATTATATTAACAAAATTCTTCTGGTTGACCGTATTTTAGTCGAACGAAACAGAATTTCTGGTTATTGTCACAAAATTTTACACCTTATATCAACACCGTTTGGTTAACTTTACTATAAGGATTTGAATAAGTGTTTTCTTGTTGGATCTACAAAACTTCTTGTTATATTTACATAAATCGCAGCGCTCTGCAACAGTTTTGTCATCACTCACTAAACGGTTGATCAACTGTTCGCCGCATTCATTTGTTACACTGCTACTGCGCCCTCGCTACTCGCGGCGTGTATCGCGCGCATTAGATCTTTCGCGAAGCAATGGCGTTAAGCAGTCGGAACAGTCTCAACTGAGCTCGCTAAAGTTTTACGTCGCGTCGTGGAATCCATTACGGAATATTAGTTAGGCCGATGACAGAGAACGAGAAGTAAGCACTTATGTCTGTCGTAGACGTCTGTCGTGGACGTATGGTAAGGCAGAGAAAAACGTAAGTCGTGAAAGGTTATTGGATACGTGTGGAAACGACTACGACATACATAAGTTTTTACGTCTCGGTCTCTGCCATCAGCCTTACATCCGAAAAGTTTTATGATCACGTGGTGTTTTTTTTTAATGAAATATATGTATACCAGTGATGTAATGT